AAAAGAGAGAGAACTGATGGGAGCATTAGGAACCCCAGGAATCCAGGGGGCAAATGAGATGATAGTTGTAAGTGCTTTGCACAGTGCCTGGTGTATTGTAAGAGCCACATAAATGCTTATTCTATTCCGTTCCTGTCCCCCCACCCCAGGGTGGGTGACATTCTGATTTTCATGTAATTGACTCTGCCAGAGATTTTGGCTATGTTAACCTTGACTCTGAATGGAAGCCCCAGCTGGATTTTGGTCCTGGCTGTTAATTAACATTTAGTAACAATCACAAATAAGAGAGACAGACAGAGAGAGAGAGAGAGACAGAGAATTCTGTTGAATGGAGGCCCTGGGCTGGCTGACTTGGTGACTGCAAGGGCTGGCTGGACTGTTTTCCATTTCTTCAGAGACTGAGGGGCAGACTCACAAAGCACTGGACTTGACATCACAAGGTCCGGGTTTGGGTCCTACTTCTGAAAGTTCCTAGTTGTAGGACCATGCTTCAGTTTCCCCTTCTGTAAAATAGAGGTCATAGTCTCTTCCCTGCCTCCTCGGAGTTATTGTAATGTACGGGCAAGAGAATGGGTGGGAAGTGCTTTACATGTAAGTATAAATGTAGCCTCCTGGTTTGGGTTCTGTCTGGGCTCTTCTGGACTTACAGAGCCACTTGGACTGTGTCCAAGGGCTCCCCAGCTGAGGGCCAACCAGGACTCTTAGGTGCATCTGGGACATGGGAGACCCGGGAGCCCCGGGGGTGGAGACCCCGCATTTGGCTCTGTTCTTGCCTCCGTCGTCTTTTTGTGGTTAGGGAATGAGTGGTGGTTCCGTTTGCAACTTGGGGTCCTCTGCCAGGGCATGTTTGTTCCACTTAAAGGGGGAGCCCCCAGGGAAAGAAACCATTTCCTCAGGAGCCCAGCCAGGTTAAGGGAATTGCCCAAGTCCATTAACTTGCCATAGGGACACAGTATTGATTCCCAGGAGAGCCTGGACATTGTCTTCCCTCCCTCTCCCACCCCCTTCTTTTATATTTAGGAGATAATCCATGTTCTGCCATTAACTCCTCCTGACCTTTGGCAGCTGCAGGTTTTTAGTGTCCTCCTTTGTAAAATGAGATGGTGCCTTAAAGCCCTGTTTAGTTTTGACGTTCTGTAGTCTAAGGTCCATTTGATCTGGAGTTTTAGTGTCTTGACAACCAATTATTTAACAACTGCAGTCAGGTGGTACAATGGATAGTTGGGCCTGGAGTCAGGAAGACCCGAGTTGAAATCCAGCCTCAGATGTGTGATCGTGGGCAAGTCACTTAACCCAGTTTGCCCTATAAAATGAGCTGGAGAAGGAGCAGACTACCAGTATCTTTGCCAAGAAAACCCCAAAAGGGGTTACAAACTAAATAACAACAACAAAAAAGAATGTATGAATGACGCACTTTTAAGTTAAGTCTAGTCCAAGGCTGGGGAACCTGCGGCCTCGAGGCCACATGTGGCCCTCTAGGTCCTCAAGTGGGCCCTTTGACTGAACCCAAACTTCACAGAACAAATCCCCTTCATAAAAGGATTTGTTTGGTAAAACTTGGACTCAGTCAAAAGGCCGTACCCAAGGACCTAGAAGTCTTTGACCATGAAATGAGGGATTTCTAGTTTGTGAAAGGCAGTGGAAGGGTACAGCGGGAAGGAGGCCTTTCAGGCCTGGATTCCACTATGAACTTGCTAACTGTAGGCTTGACCTCCTTGGAGGTCTTCAAGCAGAGACTTGGGTGTGTTCGATTGGGGATTCCCTTAGCGTCTGGGTTAGATGAGATGGCAGGGAGGCTCCTCCCGCCTCCCACATTCTCTGATGCTGTGATTCTGTCGTGTCTAGGACCCTGATCCTGTAACCTCTGTCTTTGACCTATAAAATGGGTGCAAGACCTGCCCCTTGGAGCTGGGGCAAGGTTCAAAGGAGATTGCAGATGGGAGATCCTGCCATCCATCTGAGCTCTCATCACGCTGCCCTTAATCGAGGTAGGGAAGGGAAGAGGCGGAAGAAACTCGAGAGGAAAGTAAGAATAGCTCCTTTAGCAAGTAAAACTTTTATTAAATAAATTTAGGTTCTTTAGACCAGAGAGAGGAGTTTTGGACATTAAGACGATGTTTGTTCTTACCTGTAACATTTGACAGTCACATAGTTCACTCTGGTAGAAGAAACTTGATCTTTGACACAGAATTCAAATCAGATTAACCGAAAATTTCCCAAAGTCTTTTTTTGTTTGTTTGTTTGTTTGTTTAAAATTAGATAAGTTCAAACTTCATGAAATTACTTGTAGCAGAAATAAGGTACAAATCACGTACGTAATAGATGTCAGGTATAAAAATGGTATTTACAACCAGTAAACATGGACTATAGAAACACGCGACTTCCACTCCTGCAGCCTCACGCGCACGCTCACTCGCGCAGGCCACGCGGCCAGTGGCCGGGGAGCCACACCACCACACCGCCACACTCTTCTGAAGGGGGGGTCTGAGGAGCATGGAGGAGGCGGCCTGAGGAGGGCAGAGCATGACGCGGCACCGTGAGGTCCAAGAGAAGCCAGGCAACAGCCCCTGTCTTCCCCCTCGAAGAAGCGACTTCTCCCGCCCTCATTTGCTCTTTTTCTCCCGCCGATGCGCTACCTACGAAGGCTTACACACTTACTCAGGCACGCACACGCACACACACAGACGCACACAGACACACGCACACCAATAGGAATGTTCTTGGTACATTATCAAACTCTGGAATCTTGAAACAAGTTGTTCAGAAGATGGTTGGGGTTTTTTTTTTTTCTTTTTTTTCTTCTTTTTTTGTCTTTTAGGGTATTTTGGTAGAAATGAAAGGGGCAGTTTTCAAGTGGTCCAATTGTTATGTATCTTAGCCGGATCATCCCCTAGTTTGGGAATGAGACTAACCAAGCTTTAAACCTGGTTCTGTGCTTAACGTATGGGATTCTATATGGAGAAAGAGACATATCTGGATAGATACATGTGGGCTGCCTTCTGTATCCTTGGGAAAATCTGTTTTGCTCGGTTCTTCCTGGCACTAGCTCAGAGAAGGACCAAATTGGTGGCAAAAGGCAGTTTCCCTTCCTGCAAAACATCCTTGGAGAAAACGTCGTCCCAAGGGTGTATTTGGTCAATAAGAAATTGGACCAACTGAATACCAGTGAGCCTAGTTCTCTTCATTCTTGACCCCCTAAGTAAGGCAGGGGGTTGGTTTCCAGGCTGGTATATTCAAGGGCAGGAGGCAGCTGCCAGGGAGCTGGGTGAGATGTGGTCCCCTAATTCCCTCCCCCCAGCACCCCACAGAAGAAAGATGGAACCCAAAGCCTGAACAGGATAAGGCTATGAATATGAAGATGGTGGGGAAGACAAGGGCCTAAGCAGGGAAGGTGAGGAGAGTCAAAGGTAATTTTTGTGCCTAAACCCAGGTGCAAGGGGATTCCTATGGGGATGGGATTGAGCCAGAGTCTCAAATCCACGGGCCTGCTGGCCCTCCAAGGACTCAAGCTTGCCTAACCAAGCTGGCCTGAAGGCCATCCAAAGATTCTTCAGTGGTTCACCCAGTTGCCGCCATGGTAACAAGATCCTGGAGGTATATAGTGTTGGAGCACTTTCCATCCTTGCTTCTCCAAAAGCCTGAACCTAATACTGAGCAGAGAGAGAGAGCGAGAGGGTGCCTGATTCTTGCTACCCTTCCGTTTTTCCCTCTGATAATGTTCAGGGCTCGTTAAGTTCCTGTTGAGATGACATAATCCTTCTCCCACAGGCAGAAGTCTCTGCAAAGTTTGGTCCTGTGATTTACTTAAAAAAAAATATATACTGTATATATATATATATATATGTATATATATGAAAGGGTGAGTCTCAAAGTTCTGAGAGTTGTCATGGTGACGTAGAGACACAACAATGAACATTCTGGTCCACAATGCTTCACTCTTTCCCTGTGTCCTCTCAGGGTGGAGAATCCTTGGTCCCCAAGGGGCCGTGTTTTGGTCCCCAGGACATTGTTGGAGCCCCCCGTGGGAAGGATCTCCTTGCCGTCGCCTTCCAAAGCTGCGTTCCTCTCCAATGTTTCACATTTTTGGGGGGGTGGGGTGTTGCAGGGGGGTAGGAAGGGGAGGGCTGGTGTCAAAAACAGTTTGTAATTTACTGGAATCTCCTGGATCTATTTGAAGCTGCAAACCGTCCTCTGGATTTGCCCCTCACCTGATGGAGAAGGAAGGTAAATTATGAGGTGAGTCAGCCTCAGCTGAGCGTGCCTACCCGAGGAGACCTGTAAGAACTTCCGGACCTGGAGCAGAATCACATGCCCTTGTACCCTCCCGTTCTTGCCTCCTTCCCACCCCGGGCTTCCCTTGCTCATGGCTCTCAAAGGGTTTCAGGACAACAGAGGCAGCCAGAAGCCCACAGTGAAACCTCCTGTTAGTGTCTTGGACCAAGGGCCATGAGGATGGAAATTCCTAATGGGTACCACCATGAGTGAACTCTGTCTAGGCTGTTATGCCAAGTATAACAAGCCAGTCAAGGGCAAGCCAGGTCTCCCGAAAGGCAACCCACCAGAAAGAGATGACCTGCCCTCTGTGACGTCAGCCTCTGCCCTTAGTAACCCTCACTTTTGAAGAACTAGGACTTCTATTTCCAAGGGAGAGTAGTATTACTTTAAGCTAGGAAAAGGCTGGCCCTACTCCAAGTGTTGGTAGCAACTATTTTGAGATCTTAAGGAAGCTTGCTGAGAGTACTGGAGGAAACTGGCTGTAATCATTGGGCTGAGCCTGAAGCCCTTCCCCCTCCTCCTAGCCCTCCTTGCCAGAGATGGGCATCTGAAATTAATCAAAACCTATAGGAGTCCCCACCACCACCACTCTGCCACCATCTTGCCTTTCTAGTGGCCAGGCCCAGGACTCACCGTTGCCTTCTGGGCCTGAAACAGGGAAACCATAATCAACCCCTTGTGGCCAAAAAAGAGAGGTAGCTTTCTTACCTGTGCTGCAAGTTCTGTCAGTAAGGGTGGCTGGCATCTTTGGGCCTCTTCAACTGGACCTTCAATCTCTTCATGCCAATCTGGAAGCCATTCATGGCCTGGATGGCCGTCTGGGCACTGGATGGGTTGTCGAAGCTCACAAAACCTGGAGGCCAGAGCAGAGGGGGAGGGGACGCTAAATGGGAGGTGGTATCCAGAACGGGGGAGCTCTTCCTTTGGCTGTCTGGCTCTTAGCAGTAGCACTTAGTGAGGCCAATAACCCTTGCCTGCCTTTATCATCTAGCCTTTAGACAAAAGGATCCCAGAAGTTTTGGTCTTCCTTGAGAAAAAGAAATGGTGGACATTGCTCATATGAGGACAACAAGGCCTAGAAAGGTGAAAGGATAGAAGAGGTGTCAGACCTGAGGCCGATGGTAATAGCGTGCAGCCTACAACCTCCCGAGTATGCTCTGAACCAAACAAAAATGAAATTGGGAAATACTTGACAAAAGAAATAAAAATACAATAAACATAGATAACAGTCACATTCTAAAGCCAAGTTAATACAAGGCCTGCAGACATACTTATGTATCGCTTAGTGGTCTCCAGTTTTATTTGATTTTGATACCACTGGTGTAGAGAGACCTTGACTTGGAAGTAGAACCCCCATGTTCCCATTCCAAGTTTGCCTTTTCCCTCTCTGTGCCTCGGTTTCCTTATGGAGAGAACACTTTGTATACCCACCTTACAGGGCAACTGAAGGATTAAAGCAATTTGTAAACTACAAAATGCTATCAAAATATAAGCTTTTTCTATTGGGTATCTTGCCTAAGGTCAGTGATTGGTAAGCTAAGGTTAGATTTAACTGTAGACCTAACAGAGTTAACTTGAAGCCCTCTGATTTTGAGCCCTGTGTGTGATATCGAAGCATCCCTGAAAGAATTGCTAAGTCCAGTCTATCTTGTTTCCCTAACAGGCCTTACCCCAAAGATGAAAAAAAGCCATGAAGTTGGCCCCATACCAATCAATTCCTCTCCTACCCTCCAATGATCACTGATTTCCTGCCCCACTCCTCTTTTATGCCCAATTAACTTTTTAAAAAAGAGATTATTTCATTTAATATTTCCCAGTTGCATGTAAAATTTTTTAATAATTATTTTTTAAAGTTTTGATTTCCAAATTCTCTTCCTCTCTCCTGCCGCCCCCTGCTCCTTGAGAAGGCAGGCAATTTGATTATCCATTCAGTTAACTCTGTAGTTCATTGTGATGCACAGGTTTTCTATCTTTGCCACTTAGCATCTAGAAAAATTGATAAAACCGAATGAGTAGAAATGATTTTAGGGCTGTTCATGCCTATGCTGGGCCATTAGCAGGGCCTATTAACCCTCAAAAAGTCTGCCTTGAAGGGAGTTTCCTGTCATTGGGGGTGTCCAAGAAGGGGTCAGATATTAGGCTTATGCATTGAGTGAGAGGGTAGGCTAGCTGACCTCTGAAATCTCAATTCTCATATGGCCAGGAGAAGGCCAAGAAACAGAAGACCTCTTTCATCTGCTGTCCCCTCTTTCTCATTCCTAAACCCATCTGTGGTCCTCACCTTAGCCCCTAGTCCATCATCCTTTCTTCCTTGCTCTCCCAGCCTGTGCTCTGCCTTAAGTTACCTCCCTTCTCATTCCTGACCCTCCAGTTGGCCAGCTCACCTGTCCCCCCTACCCACAATCCCTTGCCCCCCCTTGTCCAAACACTGCCCCCTGGCTCACCAAATCCCAACCCTGGACTATGCCCCCCTTTCCTGTCTTAGTCTTATTACTTCCTATGAATATACTGCTGGAAAAAAAGATGCTCTCATTTCCCAAAACCATGCTATCATATCGTATCTCATCTGCATAGAAGTGATAACCGATTTAATGGAAGTTGATGAGACCACCAAAGGAAAGAGGAGGGAAGGAGAGAAGTAAGCCAAGGTCTAAAGCTTTTGAGACACCCACACTTGGTAGGCAGGATAATAATCCAGTAAAGGAGACGGAGAAGGAGAAGAACCAAGAGACAGCAAGAGAAGAGCGTGTCCAGAAGGATGGGATTGTCAACAGTGTCAAAATCTGCATCTGGGGCAGCGAGGTGGTACAGTGTATAGAGTCAGGAGGACCTAAGTTCAAATCCAGCCTCAGACACATAACACTTTCTAGCTGTGTGACCCTGAAGTCACTTAACCCCACTGCCTAACCAAAAAAATAACAAAAAAAAAAAACCAACCCTGCATCCAAGTTAGATGGAATCATCATTCATTCCCCATCCACTAAGCAAGTATGAGAAATAAGGCTCCACCCTGGTCTCCCTTTTCTCTCTACACTCTCTTGATTTGATCAATTACCTTTGTTACTCAGTGGTTCCCAAATATAGAGAAAAATGGAAATATATAGAAGGATGGATATTGATGATAACTATCACAATTTCCCAAGGATACTTAATAGATGTAAATCAGCTGCCATAACAAGATGATCCCTAAAATCTAGAACACTTGATCTCCTAGCCAAGTACATATATGTATATATACCTATCTATGTATATGTATATAGACATGTGTATATGTATGTATACATGTATATATCTACACATACATATGTGTATCTATATATGTATATATACGTGTATATACATATGTATATGTACATATATATATACACAGAGAGAGTATGCATGTGTGTACACACACATGCCATCACCAGAAGACTGTATATGGTATGTATATACCATATAAAGTATGGGTATGTATATATGTATGTGACTATATATATACATACATATATACATATCCACACATATGTGTATATTCCATTACTGGAGAAAGATTGCTATTAAAAAGATGGGTGTTTATATACATATACATATACACAAATATGTGTATGTATCATTTGAGTGTGTCACTTATTTCAAGGAGAAGTTTGGGTTCATTAGTCTGCACAATTTCATATATACCCACACACACCCCATTATCAGAAGATTGATCATATATGTGTGTATGTATGTGATAAACACACATATATGTATGTATCTATGCATACAGATCAATCCAACAAGCATTTTTGACCGAGCCGAGAATCATGGGCTACTACATTTTTGAAGAATCAGAGCTCATGCGTCACCCAAACAGACGTGGACTTGCAGGTGTGAGTAGGTGACCACATCATCCAGAGGAAGCAATGAAAGATTCCACCAGCCGTGCATTACCGGGAAAGGTGGGCTGGTTACAGAGTTATGAAGTTAGCAGATGGCTCATAGTGTCGGGAGAGCTCTGGGAAGGCCTCCCAGCATGTTTGTGGAGGATTTGCAGGACAATATGGGCATGATTCTTCAAAATGGTGAAGATGCCACAGGCCTGATCACATTCCTCCTCTGCCTAAACACATTCAGGGATTCTCTGTCACCTAAGAAAAGACGCAGAGCCCTCTGCCCGGCCTTGAATAAAGCCTCCTCTGTTTGGTTCCCACTCATCTCTCCAGACTGATTTCATCTTACTCACCTGCACATACCCTTCCATACTCCAGCCACACTGGCCTATCAGCTGCTTCTCAAAGTCTAGTTCTGGTCTCTGTGCCTCTGTCTCTCCTTGCCTAGAGTGGGGTCCCTCTTCGTTTGTTCTTCTTGGAAGCTCTAGCTTCCTTCAAGGCTTCGCTCAGGCACTGCCTCCTACAAGAAGCCTTCCTTGATCTGCCCCCTTGACCCCACAATTGTCTGTGTTCTTTCCCTCCTTGAATTATTTCATACTTACTTATTTGTATATGCCCGAATTGAAAATGTGAAGTCATCACTCTTATCTACTTGATAAGGATGCCCCTCTGCCTTGCTCAACAGTAGGTAGCTATGTTCAGGTCCCCTCTGTGGGCTAGTTCATTTAACTTCCCTTTGACTCTTCTGGCTCATCTCTCTCCACCTTAGTTGAAATCGTGGGTGAATATTCCCAGGCTCTATGACTCATAATAACTTAGGATCATAGATTTGGGGCTGGAATGAATTCACAGGATCAAAAGCTGACAAGCCCTCAGAGAGCATCCATTCTACCCCCACTGCCTCCCATTTTAGTTTATCACTTTCCTACTCTCATCTCATGTGATTCTTTTGACCTTTTCTCTTAAATGCTAATAAAAAGCTTTTTAAAAAAAATCAGGATTTTCTAAGGGCTTTGAGCTTCCTTTGGGAGCTCAAAGGAATATAAGAAAAACACATCCTGGTACAGGAGAGTAGAGCAGAAAAAGGTCTGGTGTCCCAGCAGTTTAGGATGTCAGCTACTGAGAGACAGGACAGTGGAATAAAACACGGCAAGACCCAAGCCCATCCGGGAATCCCAAGAGTGGATTCCTTTTCTGTTCCTATCCTGGTTGCCCATCACTACAGGCCTACACCCAGGTAATGATCATGTCCACCATTGCCATCCCCAAGGGTGTGCATGCCCTTTCTTCAAGTGGAAAAGACTTCTCTGGGAAATTCATGTGGGAAGGTGGATTTAAGTTTCACAATGGACTGTAATTGGAAATGTTGACCCTGGGGAAGGAAGGCTTAGGAGAGAACTGTAGGATCCTAGAAGGTCAGAGCTGGGAGGGGCCTCAGAGGGCAGCTAGTGCAATGCTTTCCTCTCGTACACACCCTGGGAGAAGGAGGGATGTGCTCCACAATGAGGACTGTGACCACAGTTTTGGAAAGACAGCAACAATGAGGGCATCATTCCTTGAAAGAGCTAGAGCTCATCCCAAGGATAGAGAAAGAGTTAGAAATCATGCAATGTAAGGATCAGTTTAGGAACTGGGAATATTTAACTTCAAGCAGACTGGGGGACATGGTGGGGAGAGGGAGGATGACGCCATCTTCCATTATCTGAAAGGCCATCATGGGACAGAATGAGCTGCTGTGTTGTGTGGGGTCCTGGAGGGCACAATGGGAGCCATGGGTGCCTTATCACCTGGAATGCCTCTCCATCCTTGTCCTCACCTCCCCCTTTTCTTGTCCAATTCCTCCCTATTCCTCAAGGCCTAACGGGCACCATATTCTCCATCACTTTCCCTGGTTTCCCAGCTGCACATGATCTCATAACACCTTGTTTTACTTCTATTTACATCAAGTGCCCCATCACTTTCAACATTCAGTCAATGAACTCTTTAAGAACTGGGCCTCAGCCTCCCTCAGTGATGAACCCAGGGCTTTGCCCACAAGAGGCACCATGCTTGTTGGCTGATGGCTGAAGGAATGGAGGTTGGAGCCATGGCAGAATTGGCACCGTGGTCAGTTGCTAATGCCTTGCCCTGGCCCAGGGATCCATAGTCTGTGTGTTGGGCTGTTGATGGGATGGAACGGTCACTCACCGAAGCACTTGCTCTGGTTAGTGGCTCTGTCCATGAACACCTTGGAGGAAATGATGTTGCCGAAGGGCAGGAACATTTGCATCAGCTCGCTGTCTCCAAACTCCTGGGGGAGGTGGTAGATAAACAGGTTACAGCCTTCGGGACCTGCAGGTAGGGGGAGAGAAAGACATAAAGCCCCCAAGGAGAGGAGATGGGACCCCATGAGGATCCTGAGCACCGGGTCATGCAGAGGGAAGTGTATCCACTCAAAGCACAAGACCACGTAATCTTCAAAAGGAGAAGAGCTGCTGCCTGGGGAAGCCAAACCCTTAGAAAATCCTGAACTACTCACTTCCTGCTAGTGGAAGGCACTGGGGCAGCTTTATGGTCTGGACTTTAGGTCTGGCTAAAGACTAAGGCAAAAATGCCTCAAGGTAACCCAATCACTCACTAATGTGCAAAGCGCCTTGTATGTGAATAATAAGTCCCAATGCCTCCCACCTTTAATCTGGGAATGCTTTAGGGTTTCTCATCCATTCCCCTTCCTCACCACAACCCAAGGAGGGAGATGACGCAGGGGTTATCATCTCCATTTTAGAGAAGAGGCTGAGGCACACCCAGGGTAGAAGCCAATGGCAAAACCCAGGCTGAGGTCTTCCCTATACTCTTCTGCCATCCCAAACCTATGTGGATTGTCAGTGGCTGAGCACAAGGGAGCTTGGGAATTGGGTACAGGGAAAGGGGTGGCTTTCTGTGCGGGCTCCAAGCAGGTGCCCTGAACCGCATCCCTTGAGATAATATCAATTTTGGTGTCATGGAAAGAACCCTAAAGTCAGAAGACCTGGCTTCAAATCGCCATACTACCTGTATGACCTTGGGTAAGTACTTCTCCTACCTGAGCCTCGGTTTCCTTATTAATAAAATGAAAGGGTTAGACTAAATGATCACTAAGATGCTTGGTGGTTCTAAATCTCAGGATTCTGTGATGCAGTTTGGGACCATTCAGGTCGCTGCTATCCTCCACTAGACAGATATGTGACTCAGAGGCATTGCTATGTGTTTGCTATTAGTTTGAGAGGCATTCCATTGATATAAAGGAGTCAGGATGCCCAAGTCTGGTTCCTGGGTTACAAGTTGGATAAGCCTAGACAAGTTGCCCAGCCTCTCTGAGTTTCAGTTCCATCACCTGTAAAATGGAGATAATACCCCAACCCCACTCATGAGCCTCTTTTGAGGTGATGTGATAGCTAACATCTGGGGCATCCTTAGATTAGAAGGCTCATGTATCCAAAGAACTCTCAACCTGGAACCTCTGTTAGCCACAGCCACGTAAAATGGCCCCAGCTACATAAAATGAAGGCTACAATGAAATTAGGCATGGCCTAAAGGAAATCAGGATGTGGACTCAGGAACATATATACAAAAAGGTGCCCATTTCCCAAGGAGCCCTAGGAAAAACTGACCCATCATAGGTGGGAAAGGGCTAGAAGTTGCTCAGCAGGCCAGATGGTTCTGGCCATTGTGCTTACCCTTCCTGTGGGTGAGATTATTCAGGGTCTTAGGGGGGAGGTGGCAGAGGACACTTGTCCCTTCCCCTGTTGACATCTGTTGTGACCAGCTCCTACCTCATTTCCCCTGCCTTTGGCTTGAAGTGAACTCTCCTTCCTTTGTACCTCATAGGCCTTATCATGTCCTGACCATTACTTTTGTTTTTTGTATCCTTCTCAGCCCCGTTCCAGACTGTGGGCTCTCCAGGGGCAGGGGATCCGTCTCTCTGTCTGTCTGGTAGCCCAGCTCAGGGCAAGTGAATTGAATCGTTGATCTCATTTTATCCTCGGGGATTATTAACTTCATTTTATAGGGGAGGAAACCGAGTCTCATTAGAGGGAAGGATCTTGTCTTGGGTCCCCAGGATGGGTTGAAAATGTAAACCAGTGCCTTCATGGCACTGGGCAGAACAGGGAGGGACCAGGATAGTCTCACCTTCTCGCTGCTGCTGCTGCTGGATGATGGGCGGAGGCTGTGGAACGCTGTGGGCAATGGGCGTGATGGCCGCAGTTGGATACATCGCTGGGGAGGGGGAGACAGAGGGTGAGGCGTGGAATGAAACCAGGCAAGAGGCTGCAGGGCAACAGGGAGGTATGCCTACCTGTGTACTGCTGGACTCCTGAGAAAGCTGGATGGAGGGTCTCAGCCATTGCGGGACTCTGAGCTGGAGAAGAGACCAAGGGCTGAGGATGACCTTGAAGACGGGGAGGCGCTCTCACCATTCTGTGCCCCCGTCCCTCCTCCCATCCCTACCCCTACCACCACTTGCCACTCTGGGGGCTGGGGGGCTGGATGGGAAATGAAGAGCCGGGTTGTGTGATTCTGGAGGGAAGCTTGACCCAGGGCATAGCAGAGGTCATAGCACCGTAGAAGCAAAAGCTAAAAAGGGACCTTAGAGATCAATGAATCTAAACTCATTGTAAAGGCCAGAGAACGAAAGGGATTTGCCTGATGCCACCTTGAGAGCTTCTTATCTCCCATCCCCCCATCTTCCCCATCCCCCTTTCTTGTCCATCTATCCCCATCCCTCACTGTTCTCCTTTGCTGTCCCTATCCCCGGGCTTCCTTTTGAGGTCTCCCAGTCCAAGGCAGCTGGGACATTTGAAACTCTCCTCAGCAGAGACCCTTCACCCCACCCCTGTTACCTGGGTAGGGCACAAGACCATTGGCGTATACAGTTTCTAAGGCCGGATGCCCACCAGGGAAAGGCACCACACCTGCAAAGCCGTTGGTGATGGGGGTGACAAGACCTGGCACAGCTGCTGTTCCTAGGAGTGGTGGAGAATGTAGCCCTAGGAGAGGAACAGAGCCAAGGTTTTCAGTCATCAGAAACATGCAAGACCCACCTACTCATCCCTCAGTCCTGTGGGCCTTCCCACTTGGAAATCCCTAGGCTGGGCATTAGTTTTAGTAATATTGTGCTCACTCAGGGTCCTGAAAGAGGGTTATTATTCTAGGTCATATCTTTCAGAATCAGAGGGGCCTTGAGATTTCATCTAATCTTCTAGACTTCTCCCATTTTATAGAGATGAAAACTGAGGTCCGGAGATGGGAAAAGCCTTAGACCAAACAGCTAGTGAGTGAGAAATGAGATTTCTTGGCCTTAGGACTTCTAATCACTGCAAACTTCCTCGAGCCTGGCTACCTGGAGCCTGTGCCAGCCACTCACCAGATGCTGGGGCGATGGGTGTAGCAGGAATCCCATTGAGGCTTACAGCGCCAATCTGCTGGATGTGGCAGGGGGAGAAGGCCACACCTGGGCTCAGGTAGCTGCCGTGGGAGGTGGACAGTACTGTGGTTTGCTGCTGCATAAGCTGGGGCCAGACAGGACAAGCTGATGTGACAGTGGCCAAAAGATCTCCTCCCCCTCTTCCTCCTCCATCTCTTCCACCTGCTTCTCCTTCTCTTCTTCCTCCCCCCTCCCCTTCCCCTGGGACCAGGGCGTACAGGACCGAGGGTTCTCAAGGGGTTGGGGACTGTGGCTTTGAAGGGCTTGGGTGGGTCCAACCCTGGTCCCCAATCCAGCTGCTACTCTGTCTGACCACACGAGGGCATCAGACTCCACTGAGAGTAGGTCTGGCAGGGCTGCAGGATACAGAGATACACAACCCAGTAGCCACACGCATCCTCCATCTACCCAACAGTTGGTCCCAGGCTCTCTGTTAGCCCCCTCCTCTAGTGGCATCTCCCCTAGAGAGGAACCGCACTGAACCATGCACATTCTTGTTGGGTAGGGAGTGGCTCAGGGGTCAGGCTGTGTCTGACCTCCATCTCATTAGCCCTGGGCACTAAGCCCAAACCCAGTAGCCTCCCTGGTCTTTCTCTGTGTCTTCTGACCTGGTTCCAGGGGCAGACTTCAGGATGAGTTGTCAGGATGGAGGGGGGAAGCATCCCATGGGGAGGGCTGACCCCACAATGGGCATATGTCCCAGGCTCAGTGTAGTGGAGAGGGATCCTAACTCCCCTGTCCCCAGGAGCAGCCCCCCACTATTTCTACTTTCCTCTTTTCCTTTTCCTCCCATCCTTCAAAGAACAAAGAGATAGAGGGACAGAAACAGACTACAGAAAAGAGAAAAAGACAGAAACAGAGGGACCTAGTCAGAGATAGGCAGATAGACATGCCACAGAGAGAACTGGGTAGAGAAACAGAGACAGAGGGAAAGAGAGACATAAGTAGAGAGGAGCTGAGTCAGAGAGAAGATTGGGTAGACAGAAACACAGAGGCGGGAGGAGAGAAATAGAGGCTGAGTGAAAACAAGATGGGCCCAGAGAAATAGAGAGATGCTGGAAGAGATGGAGAGAATGGGAGATGGAAAGAGACAAGAGATAGATCGACAGACAAAGCTGAGGCCAGAAGGGCCAGGGTCAAGCTGAGGAAGAGGAAGGGAAGGGGGAGAAAGAGAGACAAAGATGCAGGAAGACAGAGATATCACTGCCGAGAGATGGGGATAGGGGTACTCACGGCCTGCGCGTAGGCACTGTAGGGGCTGAAGGGCAGTGTAAGGGATGGCGTGAAGATGCCCAGCTGGCCTACCATCTGCTGCATTCTCCGAAGGGTCCTCTCCTTGTCTGTGTCCGCGAACTTCACCACCAGGCTGGAGGAGGCGCCCTGGGCAAGGGGCAAGGGCCAGGGAAAGAGAGGGGCAGCAAGAAGCCAGGGCCCAGGAGAGGTCTGCCCCTCTCTCTCCCCCACTCCCCACGCGGCCAGCCCATGATAATGACACACATACATGCATACATAAATACACACACACACACACACAGAGCATCCTGCGTCCACCTGGGACCAAGCCAGCAACCTGATCTACCAATGCCCAAGGCTCAGGGGTGGTCCCAAGCCAACAGAGCAACTCCCACACAGACCAACTGAAATGCAACTAGAGAAATGGCAGGTGACTGAACATTCACATAGGCAGATGTTGACATGACCACAAGGCAGATGGACTACAAAGTCATGCAGGCAGAGTGACCACACATCTTCCCCAGCAGGAGATCAGTAGAGAGGAGGAGGGAGAGGGGGACACGACCCCAGATTCCCTTATACACACATCCATACATCTTTCACAGAATGTCAGAGCTGGAAGGGGCCTTAGAGACCATCTACCCTAACCCTGTTTTATAGAGGGGGAAACTGAGGCTCAGATTTAAGGGAAAGGATTTGTCTAAGATCACACAGTGAGGTAAAGAAGAATTGGGAACAGAACCCAGGTCTTCTGGCTCCTAGCCCACTATGCTAGGCTGCCTCATCTCTTATGACAGTCATACTCCCTACTTACACACACACACACACACACACACACACACACACACACACACACACACACATCCCAATACACTTAGCCACATCCCTAGGCATCCCGACCCTGGGGCCTGAAGCAGCAGATCCCAGAGGTGTCCATGACAAGACAGTGACCATCATCCCATGATCATTGAACACTATCCAATACAAACACTGCTAATGCCCACTTACAGCTTCTGAATGGGTGTCTGCCTTCTCTTTATACTCATTACTCCCCCCCCACAACCAGGTCCTCCTTCTTGTTTCCCTGTCTTAAGTAACCTCTCAGAGTCTACGGAGTCCTCACTCCCTCTCTGTGTAGGAATGCCCTCTACTCAGAATACCTTCTATGGGTGTGCTTGAAACCAGCTCCAACCGGCCTGAGAAAGCAGATTGTTAAATTTCCAGTGGGAGCATTTATACCTCAAAAATCAGCAAAGCTACAAATCAGGACTTGATTTATTGTTTTGCTGATTGTTTGGGGAAATGTTAATAATATGGAGCAAGCTTTAAAAAAAAGTGTTGTGCATATATTGTTTGTTTGTTTGTTTCTTTTTTTTTTTTTGGAGACCTGGTTGTTAAACATTTATGAGCACACTACATCCTTAACTGGGTTCCATAGAATCTCAGAGTTGACTATACCCTCCTCAGTGGCCATCTACTCCAATCCATACCTGAAAAATAATCCTCCAATGTAGCATGCCCATCAGAGAGCCACGTAGCTTTTATTTAAAGGAGCAGGAGAAAGCCTCCACCTGCGAGGCAGTCCAGTCTACTGAACCAATTGTTTAGAAGGTTTTCCCTACATCAAAACCTAAATTTGCATCTTTACCACTTCCACTCATTACTCCTAGTTCTTTCCTTTGGGGCCAACAAGCATGTCTACCTTTTCTTCCGCATGATGGCCTTTGCAATACTTGAAGACAGCTGGGTTATTACCCATTGAGTCTTTCTTTCTCCAGGCCAAGTTTCTCCTACAGCATGGATCCCAGGTCCTTCCCCACAGCCGCTCGCCATCTTTATCAGCAGCTGGCTTAGAATGTGGCTCCAGGTGTGGTCAGACTCTGGCTGGCATCCAGCCCCTGCCTGCTCAGCTCCAGTGACAGACCTTGCCCGATACCCATTCCCATTCCATTGTGGGACAGCTTGGTTGGCCAAGAAGTTACTCTTTATTTGGACCTGAAATGAGCCTTCCTATGACTCTTGTTTCCTACTGCCCCTAGTTCTGCTCTATGCTGGGGCGAAAGAGAACAAGTCTACTCCGTAAAGGCCCTTCAGTTCTTGGTGCTTGTGAAGACTTCTGCTCTTCAGAATGAACAATTTCCCTTCCTTCAGGCTCTCACCAGGACTTTTGAATGAGGCTCATAACTAACCTGCCTGCCACCAGTTTTTCCTTTCCTTTTATGATCTTTTTTTGCACAAACAACCAGAGTCGTCTTTCTACAACCCAGCTCTGGTCTTGTCTCTACCCTGTTCATATACCATTCCTGGATCCGCCGCAGCCCATGGGCAGCAAGTCCAGACTCTTTAGTCTGACATTCAAGGCCCTCTCTGATCTTCCTCCAGACTCCCTCTCAAGCCTTGCTTCATCTCCCTGCCGGGCACCATCAACTCTAGCAAGTGTGGCCTATTTGATAGTTCTTGAAGACACCATACTCTTTCCCACCTGTAGATCTTTGCTCACATTGCCTGCTCTGCTCTTCCCTACTCTTCACCTGGCAAGATCCCCCCCCCCCCATCTTTCAAGGTCCAATTCAAATATCACCTCCTCTGGGCAGCACGCCCTGATACCCTAGACTGGTAGTAACCTCTTCGTCCTCTGGGTCCCAAGTCTATCTCTCTCCTTTGTCCCATACTATCGTGTATCCTAGTTACCCCCTCTTATTCCTCTGCTGAACTGTGTGCTCTCTGAGGGCAGGGGCTGGGACTTAACCCTGTTGTCTCCCGTTGTGTAGTGGGTGTCCACTGACTCGTCTCCTGCATAGACCACTAAATCTGGAAGGAGCCTCAGAGACCGTTGGGCCAGTGACCTCTAAAATGGAGGTTTGGAGAGAAGGAGCTTGATGAAGATATGCTGGGTCAGCAGCAAATCCAGGATTAAAGGCCGTATCTTCTGGTTCTGGGATGTGCCCAGCCTGGGTACACCGGGAGGGACGGGGCAACCTGTAGCCCTGGTGTCCCCCTTCCCCTCCTTCCATCCCCCCAGGAAGGGAGGAAACCTCTGGCATCTCATACTCACTGGCATTGTCTGGCTGCCATGGAGGGCATGGATGGCAGCCTGGGCTTCCGTGTGGGACGAGAACTTCACAAAAGCACAGCCTGTGTGGGGTAGAGAGGGAGGGACAGATAGGAGGGTGAGACAAGACCTTTTTCCTCCCCTTCCCTTCTCAAGCCTTAGTGACTAGTGGGAGGGGGAGGGCAAGCTTCTGACATCACACAGACGGACATGACAGACAGACACAACTGTATGGTGAGACAGGCAGTCAGATGACCAGAGCCGGGAAGCCCGAAAGAGACAGAGGCCATCAGACAGTCACATGCAGTCAGCCAGGTGAACTGAGGGAGTTGAATATTGACAGAGACCAGTAGATACGATCAGATGGAGGAGAGCCAGGCACAGTTGGGTGGACAGGTAGACAGGCAGACAGGCGGAGGAGTGGCATGCCCTTGAGGACCATGAGAGGCTCCCTCCCTCCCTCCCTCCCCTCTAGGGCACATGGCGCACCTTTACTATTCCCATCGGGGCCCCGGAGCACGGTGCACTCATCGATCACCCCAAAGGGCTGGAAAAGTCGGAGAACATCCTCCTCAGATTGCTGCTTGTTCAGCATGCCCACGAAAAGCTTCCGGTCCCCTGTGGGGGGGAGATGGAGACATCAGCCTCAACAGGGCCAGGTACCCCAGGACCGGGCAGGAGAGCTAGAGCCAGGGATGCCCCCAGAGGAGATCCTGCCAGGCCTTTAATCACCCTCTTTGTTAGACCTCACCCCTGGGCCTGTGTCCCAAGAGAAAAGAGGAGGGGATGGCAGTTGGCTGAGATGGGGAGGACAATGGGGACACAGACTCAGGTACATGGGGGCAGCAAGGGGCAGGCTTCTGATTCTTTCTCTGAAGGGGGGAAATGCCATAGGATCCTAGCATCCCAGAGGTCACCATCATCTCATTAGCCTTCCTGCCTGGGGTTCCTCTGGACTTTCTTTAGGTGCTTCCAGTGATGGGGAGCTCACTCCCTCCTGCTCAGCCCATTTCATTATGGGAGATCCTTAATTGGTCACAGTGGGAATCTTGGTTTTTGGAGGCATTAACTGGAGTTACAGCTAATAAGTATCTGAAGCTGGATTTGAACTCAGGTCCTCCTGACTCCACAAAGAAGCAATCTTAAAGATTTTTAGTCCAGCTTCTTGGTTTTGGGGGTTTGAGGAGACAATTGGGGTTAATTGGGGTTATAGCTAGTAAGTGTCTGAGGCTGGATTTGAACTCAGGTCCTCCTGACTCCACACAGAAGGAATAGTAAAGATTTTTAGTCCAGTTTCCTCCTTTTACAAGTGAAGAAACTGAGGCCTCAAAAAGTGAATTGACTTGCCCAAGGCCACACCAGGAGTATGGAGCAGAGCTGAGATTTCAACCCAACCAGGATTCCACATCCAATATTTTCCCATTTTATCTCATAGAACATTCTTCTTTATATTGAACTGAAATCTGCCTCCCTAGAAATCCCCTCCATTGCTCCCGCTTCTGGGCCCAAGGCAAGCAACACTGCTCCCTCTCCACTAAGGAGACTAATATCAGCTGCCTGGAACACTTTGCTCAGGGTCTAGGTTGGCAGGTATAGGTCCGGCAAGATGGCCTCCAACCCCTTCTCCCCTTCCTTGTAGGACGTCCCCCCAAGTGGCTCTTCCCATCTCTGAATTTCTCTCCTCTCGGGTCCCTATCTGTAGATCACAGAGTCTCAGGTTTGGAAGGTGACCCAAGACCATCTGGTCCAACCTGCACGGGGACAAGAATCCCCCATCCACAACATTCTTGGCAAGTGGCCCCCAAACCTTGTTTGAAGACCTCCAACACAGAAGGGTCCTGCTAGCTCCTGACGCAGCCCCTTCCACGTTGGGACCCTTCTCATACTCAGGAAATGTTTTTCCTGACATCAGATCTCAACTGGCTTCCTTGCAATTTTCACACCCAGTTTCTGGTTCTGCTTTCTAGGGTCTCTCCAAGATAGCCCTCCAAAGACTTGAAGAATTCCTCTCTTCTAGGTGGAAGCTGGTGGTACAGTGGATAGACTGCCGGGCTTAGACTCAGGAAGGCCCGCCTTCAAATCTGGCCTTCCTAGCTGTATAACCCTGGGCAAGTCATATAACTTCTTTCTGCCTCAACTTCTTCAGCTGTAAAATGAGGATAATAATAGCATCTACTTTACAGGGTTGTTGGTGAAGATCAAATGATCTTGTAAAGCGCTTAGCACAGTGCCTGACATAGAATAGGCACTATATAAATCCCCTTCCTCCCTCCCTTCTCCAGGCTAAATATTCCTCTTTCCTGATTTTCACATGGAGTGATTTCAAGGTCCTTCAACCTCCTGGTTGTCTTCCTCTATTTCTTCTCCAGCTTATCAGCCTCCTTCCTAAAATACAGTGCCCGGAATTGCACAGAATATTCCAAATAAGGCATGGGCAGGGCAGGGCAGAATGAGACCACTGCTTCCTTATTCCCAGACCCTATGCCTCTTTTAAGGTAGATATTTGCTTTTTTTGACTTTGGATATCACAATGCTAATTCATTGTGAGGGTCCATTAAGACCCTCATAGCTTTTTCAGTTAAATTTCTTGTCTAGCCACACCTCCCCTTTCTTGTCTCTGAGGTTCTATCTACCACAGAATCACAGAAGTATAGAACATGAAAGTAGGAAGTGACCTTAGAATGTAGAATGTAGGCTATTGGGCTTAGACAGGATCTTAGAAAATATAAGAGAATGTTGGAGCTGGAAGGGCCCTTAGAACATAGAATGGCAAGACTGGGAGGGCCCTTAGAACAAGGAATGTCAGAGCTGGGAGAGGCCTTAGAACACAGGATGTCAGAGCTGGGAGGACTGTTAGAACACAGGATGTCAGAGCTAGGAGGGCCCTTAGAACAAAGAATGTCAGGGCTGGGAGGGAGCTAACAATGTGGAATGTCAGAGCTGGGAGGACCCTTAGAACATAGAATGTCAAGACTGGGAGGGCCCTTAGAACAAAGAATGTCAGAGCTTGGAGGGGCCTTAGAACATAGGATGTCAGAACTGGGAGGGTCCTTAGGACACAGAATGTCAGAGCTGGGAGGGCCCTTAGAACACAGAATGTCAGAGCTGGGAGAGTCCTTAGGACACAGAGTGTCAGAGCTGAAAGGGCCCTTAGAAAGAGAAATGTCAGGGCTTAGAACAGAGAGTGTCAAAGCTAAGAGGTAGTTTAGAGATCATTTAGTCCAGTTATCATTTTACAGAGTGGGGAAAAAAGATTCCAAGAGCAGAAGGACTTGCCCCAGGTCAAAGAGAGCCAGTAATAGAGTCTGGGCTTCCCAATTCTCAGGCCTGACTCCAGGGACAGAGACCCTCCCAGAGCCTCGGCTCTAGGATGCCTGGAGAGAACATACCCCCACATCCCCATCCCTGTCCAGGCATCCTCCTCTGTCTGCTCCATCACCCAAACCAGCTTTTCACTATGGAGTCAACAGGTTGGTCTGTCTGTTGCCAAGGAAGGGGGAAGGCACCGGGTCTAAATCCAGGGGAGGGAGTGGGCATGGGTGCCTTCTCCTACTGGTTCTCAGAGTCACCTGACCATCTCCTCCCTGCCCCCCACCTCCAGTTTCTTTTTTCCTTTCCTTGGCCTGGCAATTTCCTGCGCTGTCCAGCAATCAGGAACATTTTATCTTCTCCTCCCTCAATGTTGAGTTGCATTGCCATGGAAACCTGTTCTTGTTAGTCATTGGTGGGATTGGTTGGGGTAGGGGGAGGAAGCGGAGGGCATCGAGGAGAGAAAAGCATCTTGTGTGATGGAACCCTGACAGAGAATACTGGAGGGTGAAGGTCTGAACCGTAGGAGGCAAACACTGAGAGCCGCTCGGGGCGCCCAGCTCCCATCCACCCTCTCTCAGTGCAGACCAGTGTGCTGAGCAGGCAGCCAGAGGTGGGGGAGGGGGCTCCACTGCCCCCAGAAATCCCTGGTGCAACCTTTCCCCCATATCCATCTATCCTGGTATATATGTCTCTCCACTACATCCAGGGAGACACCCAAGGCACACCCGCTCCCTCTCCTCGGAGATGGGGAATCTCTGATTCCTTAGGCAAGCTCTCGCTGTCTTCATCCCTCCCCACAGATGACGAAACGGTCCTGGATGGCTTAGCGTCTCTTTGGGGTTTTGTCCCTTTCCCAGCAGTCCCTTGGAGGGTGATAGGGGCCCGGGGCAATTGGGGAAACAGCTTGGGCTGGGGCTTTCTTGCATTTCTTTAAGGCAAGGGGTAGGTGTAGATACCCACCTCCATGCCTAGCTAGGTTCCACACTCCTTTGCCCTTTAGGTTGGGATGGCTAACCCCCTCTAAGGAGGTCTGATCAGAAGACAGAACAGTCTCCCTTCTCCTATTGTATGGCGATCAGGCGCCTGAAAAGCGAGACATTCCTCACTGCTTCCCCATCATTCCTGAACAGCTGCTTCCCCAAGGATGGAGAAGGCTTCAGAGGCAGAGTGGGGAGGCAAGAAGGATAATAATGATTATAATAGCTTCCATTCTATAATAACATACAGTTTACAAAATGCTTTTCTCACAGAAATTCCTCTGGGGTGGGCAAGAAGAGTTACCTCTATTTTCTGTGCTAAAACACTGAGAGGTTATGTCATTTGCTCACTCACCCAACTGATGAGTGGCTCAGACAAGAACCTTGGTGCTCCACCCGCCCAGGTGAGGGCTCTTAGCACTTGCTGCCTGAAAGCTGGGAAGGGAGAGGCCCCTGGGATGGGATGAACATTAGGCACTGCCTAGAAGGAAGGTGGGCTTGACTTTGGGCCCTTGGAGGCCAGTGGGGAGGGACTGGCCTGTGTGTGAAGTAGGAGCTAAAGAATTCAGGCCAAGGCACACCGGCCACATAGCTTCACTAGCCAGTATGGCCCTGGCCAAGCAGGCCCTAGGCTGCTTCACCTTCCCTGCCCTCCACTATGCTCCCTTCCCCAGTCTTTTCTGCCCTATGAATTGTCCCTCCTCCCTTTAGCCATGCTTGACCCTAAGAAGGGCCTCCCTCCCTACCTAGGAAGGAGTTGCTGGTCCAAAAGACATGATGGGAGTTGGAGTGGTGTGGGGGCTGCTCCTGCCACACTCTTCTGTATGAGGTATGTGGAAGGAGCCCATATTTTCCTTCCTTTCTTTTTTCTTTCTTCCTGACTTTTAATTTAGTATTTTATTCCCCACCCAGTTACACGGGACCCATATTTTCAAACCAAACTATCTAGATCCTATCTGACAAATTCAGCAATGCCTCATTCAAAGTAATATTTCTTTCATAGGATCTCAGACTTCCAACTTGGAAGGGACCTCCAAGAGGATATTGTCCAACCCTCTCGTTTTATAGTGAAAGAAACTGAGGCCTAGGGAGGATTTTCCCAAATTCACACAGGTCGTCAGTGGCAGGGCTGGGATTTGAACCCACGCCTCTTGACTCCAAATGCAAGGCAATTCTAAAGAACATATTGAATGTCTCTTTTTCACAGAATCCATGTAGTTTTGGTAAATCCTGGAGGAATGGTCCATGAAGATGTAGGGTACACTTGGGAGAGAGGGAAAGGGGAGTAAAGGGCTGAGGGTGAGGGGCTGAGGAATCAAGGGTCTGAGGGGCTGAAAGGACCATAGAGGCAGGGGCCTGAAGAACTAAGAAAACTGCTGAGGAGTAGAGGAGTAAAAGAAGGGGTCTGCAGGAGCTGGGGGAGCTGAGGTGTTTGAGGCGCCAAGAGGAGCCAAGGGACTTAAGTGGCTCAAGAGCTGAAGAGACACATGTAATTCACAAGGGCCAGGCCTGAGTGGGACCCTCTGCCCAAGGATGGAGGAAACAGGGACCAAGCGCCGTTATCCAGACTGAAATCTGGAGAAGGGCCAGCGAGCTAGGTATGTGTACATTGTAGGTGACTAAGCCTTGCCCTGGGGGTGGGAGTCCCAAATTTATCCCGGGGGATTGAGGGGCTGGGGGAACAAAGAAAGATGACAATTACCTCCACGGCTCTCGCTGTCCGCAGGCTTCACCTGGATCGGGCGCGCCATCTGCAGAGAGAGAAAGAGATGGGGGCAAGTTAGGAAGGGTTCCAGTCCTTCTGGTGGGAAAACCCTTGGGGTCACGTGGGCCAGCTGATCCAGTTTCCTGGCGAGGTGGGGTTTGGCTTTCCTTTGGCAAAAGGTCCTCCTTTTTTTTCCTTGGGTCCAATAAGACAGGCTCCTCTCACCTAGTTCCATGAAGAATGAGGGGTATAGAATAGGGTTGAACTTGGCTACAATGGTCCTGTACACCTACCACAGACGTAGGCAGAAGATACTATAGGATTTGGGGTGGAGGCAAGACTATTCAGGTTGCCTGGCTTTTAGCTAGTTGCCTTCAGTGGAAGGGAGAGACAGCATTAGAGACTTCCCCCCCACCCAATCCACACATATGGGGACAGAAGGGATATGCTGAATTCCTCCAAGTCTTAGAAGCCTTGATATTCCTTTTGGAGAGAAATCCTTGGCTCATAGATCTAAGACAAATTATTGAGATGAATCAGAAATGTTTGGGCCCCATGCCCAATCTAGAGTCAAAGAATGTTGGAATGAGAGTACTCAGAACAGACTTTCAGAGCTGGAAGGGACCATTGACCGCTGGGAGAGCACTAGGGATCTAGCCAATAGTTTGGAATCCCTTTCTGAGGCTGAGTGGGCAATGGGATTTGAGTCATGTCCTCAGACTGTTTTCTCTCTGCCTGACCACCTATTGTGCCAAAGACCCCATGCTTCCTCTTTCCCAGTCCCAATCAGCAGACATCTCTGCCCACTGACAGACTTCCCCGTGCTACCATCTTCATCTGCTCAAGAAGGTGTACTCATTGGCTACGGGGATCCCAATGGGTGATTGCATGACCTGTCACATTATGGAAAGGACTAGAGTCTTTGAAACACACATCTGTGTATCCCTTTGAGATTTACTCTATCGCTCTCAGTGGCATACAGGAGCAGAATCAGGGGTCAAATGGCTTGGGAGTAGGTTTGAGTGGTGGGGAATTTTGTTGGGGAAGTGGTGAGTGTATCTATGTCCTCACAACTCCCAGAATCTCATAGCTGGAAGGGAACACAGGAGCCTTCTACTCCAACCCAGACTCTCCTTGAGCAAGAATCTTACTCTCCATGACTCCATTTGGAGTTTTCTTGGTGGAGATACTGGAGTGGTTTGCCATTTCCTTCTCCAGCTCATTTGACAGATGAGGAAACTGAGGCAAACAGGGTGAAGTGACTTGCCCAGGGTCACACAGCTAATGTCTGAGTCCAGATTTGAACTCACAAAGATGAGTCTCCCTGACTCCAGGCCCAGTACTCTATCCACTGCACCACCTAGTTACCTCCAGACCCATCAGAAGGCTATTGCAATAGTCCAAGTGTGAGATCAAGATAGTCTGCACCACATTGTGGGAAGACCAACTTTGATAGACTTAGTCCTTCTCAGCAATACAATGATCTAAGACAATTCCAAAACACTCATGGTGGAAAATGCTATCCAGAGAAAGAACTATGGAGTGTGAATGCAGATTGAAGGATACTATTTTCTCTCTCTTTTTTTTCTTTCTCATGGTTTTTCCCTTTTGTTCTGATTCTTCTTTCACAACATGACTAATGTGGAAATATGTTTAATATGGTTGTACATGTATAACCGAAATCAGATTGCATGCCATCTTGGGGAAGGGGGAGGGAGAAAAAAATTTGGAACTCTAAATCTTATGAAAATGAATGTTGAAAACTAAAAATAAATAGAGAGAGAGAGAGAGAGAGAGAGAGAGAGAGAGAGGGACTGCACCAGAGGAGTGGCAGTGTCAAAGGAGAGAAGGGGGCATATTTAAGACATGCTCCAAAGGTGAAATCAACAGGCTTTGGCAACAGTTTGGATATGGGGAGTGAGAGATAGTGAGGAGTCCAGGATGGTAACTAGGTTGTGAGCCTGGGGAACTGGGAAGATGATGTTTTCTTTGACAGTAATAGAGAAGTTAGGAGGGGAAGGGGGTTTAGGGAGAAAGATAATGAATTTGATTTTGGACATGTTGAGTTTCAGATGTCAACTGGATGTCCAGTTCAAGATGTCTGAAAGGCAGCTGGAGATGTAAGACTGGAGGTCAGCAGAGGGGTTCTAGCAGCAAAGGTGGATTTGAGGATCATCAGCATATAGATGGTAATTAAGTCCATGGGAGCTAATAAGATCAGCAAATGAAGTAGTAAAGAGGGAGAACAGAAAAGGGCCCAGGATAGAGCCTTGAGGGACACCTGTGATTGAAGGGCATGGTCTGGAGGAGCATCCAAGAAAGGAGACAGAGAAGGAGAGGTCAGATAGGTAAAATGGTGTCCTGGAAACCTAGAGAGAAGAGAGTATCAGGGAAGAGAGAGGGATCAACAGTGTCAAAGGTGCAGAGAGGTTGAGGAGAATGACGACTGGGAAAGTCAATGGATTTGATAACTAAGAGAACATTGGTAATTTTGGACAGAGTTTTGGTGGAATGACGAGATCAGAAGACATTATAAGAGGTTAAGGAGTCAGTGAGAGGAGAGAAAGTGGGGGTACCTATTGTGGGTGGTCTTCTCAAGAAACTTAGCCACAAAGGGAAGAAGAGATTATAGAATGATAGTTGGCAGGAGCTGGGGGAATCACTGAGGATTTTTTCAGGATAGAGGAGATGTGGACATGTTTGTAGGCAATAGCGGATGAGCCAGCAGACAGTGAGAGAATGAAGATAAGTGAAAGAATGCAGATGATAAGTGATAACTGTTCCTAGTTCTGTACTTTGGAGCTTTTCCATATGAAATCCCTTAAAATATTGGAGACAACATTTATGTCTCTCTAAGTCTTCTTTTCTACTGGCCGAGCAATCCCTTCATCCTTTGCCTGATTCTCATGTGGTATAATCTTGAGGCCATTCCCCACCCCAGTTGCCTTGGCCTCCTTTGGACACTCTCCAGTTTATCAATGTCTTTCCTAAACACTTTAGACATGGCCTAGCTGGGGAAGAGGACAGAGCGACTAGCCCCTCCTCATCCTGGATATTACACGTATCCCAATGCAACTTAAGATGGAGTTATTTTTTTAGGGCTGCCGTATCACACTGCCAACTCATCTTGAGTGTGTAGTACAGATTTTTTTTCAGGACATCTAATCAGGGTTCTCCCATTTTGTACTTGTAAAGTTGAGTTTTTGAATTCAAGTACAGGATTTTATACGTATCCCTATTAGATACTATCTTAGTAGATTTGGCCCAATATTCTAGTCTGTTGAGATCTTTTTTTGGATTCTAATTCTGTCATCCAGTGTATTAGCTGTCCCTCCTGGATCTGTGTCAGCTGTAGATTTGATAAGTATGTCTGTGTTGCTGTTGAGTCATTTCAGTTGTGTCCAACTCTTTGTGATCCCATTGGAGGTTTTCTTGGCAAAGATACTGGAGTGGTTTGCCATTTCCTTCTCCGCATCATTTGACAGATGAGGAAACTGAGGCAAACAGGGTGAAGTGATTTTCCCTTTTGTTCTGGTTCTTCTTTCACAGCATGAGTAATGTGGAAATATGTTTAATATGATTGTACCTGTATAGCCTGTATCAGATTGCATGCTATCTTGGAGAAGGGGAAGGGGAGGGAGAAAAAAATTTGGAACTCAAAATCTTATAAAAGTGAATGTTGAAAACTCAAAATAAATAAAGTGTGTGTGTGTGTGTGTGTGTGTGTGTGTGTGTGTGTGTGTGTGTGGGAGAGAGAGAGAGAGAGAGAGAGAGAGAGAGAGAGAGAGAGAGAGAGATAGTAAGTGTCTGAGGTCAAATTTGAACTCAGGTCTTCCTTACTCTAGGCCTGGCACTCTATCCACTGCATCACAACTGACCATGTTCTAGTCATTGATTTAAGTTAAATAATGACATTTATTTCTTTATTAATCCATTCATTTATTACAGAGTCAAGCATAGATCCCTGTGGCATTCCAATAGGGAGTTCCTTTCAAGTTAACACTGAGACACCAAAGACTACTTTTTGGAAGGATTCTCTCAACCTGTTTCAAATACACCTTCCTATTATTGTCCAGCCCACCTCTACATTTCGTTCATTACATTGCACATCTCCATTGTGTGCTCATCACATTTGCAGATAGCACAAAGCTGGGAGGGTTAACTAACACAATGCATAACAGTCAGGATCCAAAGAATTCTTCACATGCTAGAATAGAGTCCATCATCTCTGTGTCAGGAGGTAGGTAACATGCTTCATCATGAATCCTTTGGAATTGTGGCGGGTCATTGCATTGATGAGCGTTCTTAAGTCTTCAAAGTTGTTTGCCTTTGCAATGTTGTTGTTATTGTATAAAATGTGCTCCTGGTTCTGCTCACTTCACTTTGCATCAGTTCATGCAAGTCTTCTCAGGTTTCTCTAAATCCATCCCCTTCATTTCTTAAAACACAATTGTACTCCACTATGTTAATATACCACAATTTGTTCAACCATTCTGATTAGACCAACGGATGAACACCCCCTAAGTTTCCAGTTCTTTGCCACCATAAAAAGATCTGCTCTAAATATTTTTATACATACGGGTTCTTTTCCTCTTTCTGTGATCTCTTTGGGGTGTAGACCTAGTAATAGTATTTCTGGGTCAAAGAATATGCACAGTTTAGTAACTTTTGGGGCACAGTTTCAAACTGCTTCCCAGAATGGCTGGATCAATTCATAGCTCTACTCACATTTGGGGCAACTAATTGTCCTAATAATTATAATAGAAAAGCCTATTATCTTTCCAGGACATGTATCCTGAAGACGACAGGGAACTTTCTAAAACTTTTCAAACTGGGTAACTATTACCCAGTCCAGGTGATTCAAGTAGGCACAAATGACACTGCCCAGAAGAACATAGGGAGCATTACCCGAGACTATGATGTCTGTGGCTCAATGGCACAGGTTATATTTACATCATTCTTGTTGATGGAAGCCAGACAATGCAGAAGAGGATGCAGATTTTGGAATGCCTCCTTAAGAAGGTGATGTCTAAGAATGCAAGCTGG